AAATACAATGGTTTACATCCACTAGACTTACTTCATGTAGCCATATCAAATAGGGTATCCTTTCACACATGATGATGAAAACCACACACAACATTGTAATTTACAATGTTGTGTGTGGTTTTCATCATCATGTGTGAAAGGATACCCTATTTGATATGGCTACATGAAGTAAGTCTAGTGGATGTAAACCATTGTATTTGATTGTGTGGACTAATTTATTTTGGCACATTGGGTAATGACAGTAGTGGTCCCTTTTTTGTTTTGTGTGCCACCCTAATAACAACAGTAATGAACCTGTCTAAAGAGTTCAACAGAAGGTCAAGTTCACTGTTTAACTGTGCTGTGATACCCTGTTTCACCTCCTTACTATCTTTTCCCATGGTTGTAAAGTCATTAAGTCAGTGCTTTAAAACGTCCTACTGTGTACTCTGAGAAATATGATTGATAGTAGTGGTGTGGGGGAAAATTATGCATATCTAAATATAATAAAGCTAATTCTACCAGTGTGGATTTAGTTATGGAAATCATGTCTAGGCTTATTTGTTGAACACACAGAAGCCTAATAAAAGCCCACATAAAGTGTTCCTTAATTGCATTTTTTTTATTTCCTTTGACAGTTTTATTACTTTATATGGAAACATCAGCATTGGTGGCTTTAATCTTATAAAACAGTTTTCAGTTGCATCTTATTGTCTTTCCGCTCAGTTATGATAGTGAGGAGTATCTGAGTTTAGATAATACCACATTTGTGCTATGGGGGTGGGGAGATGTGAGAGCGGGGGTGTTGTCCTTTATCCATCTGTCTAGCCAAGCAGTGCTGCATAGGGTGAATGGCAGGCGGGCAGAAGAGGGGGGTCAATGTGTGGAAGATTAACCCGTGCTATTGTGATGCTGTATTGTTTGGTTACCACATGAGCTGATTTGGTATTCTGGCTGAATGATCTGTTTGGATGTATTATTTGTGACTTGTGAAAGCATTAGTTTATCACTCATTTGAGATCCCTTTTACCACTGAGATATTGAGGGCAGCTCCCTTGGGTGTCACCTCATATCTAACCAATTAAACAAGAACATTTTAAAAATGCATTAAGGGTCATTCCATACCATTTCAGTTTTTTGTAATTAATTATTAAATGATGACAGTCATATCATATATTAATTAAAAGCAGCTAACCCATGCAACGAATTTTAACACATTTCCACAAAAAAAATGTCAAGGACATTTGATAATCCTTTTTAGCAAAATGAATACAAATATCTTTAAAAAACCTGCAGCTCAAACCTACCTTTTAAAAAAAAATGTAATTCAAAATAATCTTTCTAGAAAGTGGATGCCAGAGAACATTCGCCTTTTTTTTAAAATGAAGAATCCATTGTTCGGGTTAAGAATAATTTATTTGTATTTTTTAGTTATGTATATATTATATAATCACTGTAAGCTTCTATTAACCAAAATACATGTTCAACATTATTTTCTCAGTTAGGATGTTCAGTAAAAATAGCCCAGTGAAAAGTAAACCATTTATGAGGCTTATATATCACAAAAGTCACTCATTAGTTTTTCATTGAATACTGGTTTATATTAGTTGTTTGTTTTCCTTCCCAAGAAAATCATTACGTCTTTAGTCTGTTACTTCACATATTTGTGATCTACATATCAGCATTGCTGTGTGTCTGATTGTCTTCTTTAATCAAGCTGGATCTGAATGATCTTTTTTGCAATAAAACATCCAACATGTCTCCCTGCCAGTTATTCCTGTCCTCTTATCTTGTTCTCTTTCTGTTGCTCACTATTGTTTCTCATGTCTAATCTAGAGGTTAACAGAATCTGTGTTTTGTCCTCAGCGTACAGGGACGCGGCGCCGCTACCAAGACGATGGAATCTCAGACGATGAAATTGAAGGGAAAAGGATGTTCGACCTGGACGAGAAGCTGCAGTGCAGCAGGTTTAACTCTGAATTGATCAAACACATGGAGGGAAAAGGTGAGAGGTTCAAACTAATCCAAGATATTCTTGGGATATCATTTCAATAAGAAACATGTCTGATTAAATGTAAAGATGATGCATGCTAACTGTTTGTTTTACATACTCTGTTGCTTGGTTTTTCTAGATTTCACATTTGAGTACATCCAGAGGGAAGGGCTCAGGGAGCCCATTATCTTTGAGGTAGCCAACGGCCTTGGCATACAGTAAGCCACATTGTTTGTCTCTAAACATATTTCTTTGTTGTTAGTTTTCTTACATAAAGGTATTCTAGCTGATTGTGAGTTATTTCAAAGCTAATACTAATAACCCACTTAACATGTTTGTGTTTGGAGATTCTTCTTTTTTTTAATTTTTAATAACACGCTCTTTGATTTGTTTCTCTTGCAGAATGCCAGACTCTGATTTCAGTGTGAGTGATGTCAAGTTGTTTGTCGGTAAGTTCCCATTTAATGGCTTTCATCTTTGTACACAACGGGCTGGACCTATAGAACAATTTGAACACTTTTTATATATATCTTTGAGCAAGTAGCAAGATATAAATGAAGGAAATGCTAAACTAACTGTAAAGTGGCAATCACAGCTCCCAATATTCAGGCTGTAATTTCTAGACATTCAAATCAATATAAAAGTAATACACACAATGGCAATGAGTATTTTAGGATAATACATTTTTGCACTGTTACTGAACTCCAATGAATTATTTTTCAGGAAGTCGACGAATTGTTGACGTGATGGATGTGAACACCCAGAAAGGAATCGAGATGTCGATGGCTCAGTGGAGACGCTACTATGACACGCCGCCATCAGAGAGAGAAAAACTCTACAACGTCATCAGTCTGGAGTTCAGCCACACCAAGCTGGAGAATCTGGTCAAACGACCGGCTTCGGTGAGAATACACACATGAACTTGTTAGTGTTTTACAACAGCCCCGATGTGCACGTTAGGGCTGTGCCATTATGGACAAAAATCATAATCACGATTATTTGGGTCAATAATTGAGTATCGACGATTATTAAAAACATACATTTATTGAAAAAGAATTGAACAGTATGTTTTTAACAGTTGATTACCCTGAAATTTTTAAGTGTAATTCTACTGAAAAACAAATAAAAAACAATTTTTAAAATAAATAAAAATAATAATCGTTTTATTTCGATTACGTTGTTTTAGTAATCGTTGCCAGCCAAAATCGTGATCGAGATTAAAATAAGATTAATTGCACAGCCCTAGTGCACATTGACAATGTCGTTTTGGAACTCTGACACCTTTAAGTCACAAAAAGATGATTTACCAGAAAATTCTCTGTTAAGAAAGAAGAGCTATTTATCCCAATCATTTCTCCTCTGTTTTAAAGCCTACATGCATAAAGCAGAGTCACTTATCACAGTCTGAGTTTGGTGCACACACATTGAATGTATGTTTTATATTACTTTTCTTTTTCCCTTTTGTCCAGGTGGACCTCATTGACTGGGTGGACAACATGTGGCCTCGCCATCTCAAGGAGAGACAGAGAGACTCCACTAACGCCATCATAGACATGCATTATCCCAAAGTGCAGAAGTGAGTAAACCAGAGGCTTAAAACATATTACATGTGCTCTGCTTTAGTTGGGATACATTACTCATATCATATCCTACAGCAGGCATAGTCTTGATTCAATTCATAGTCTCTTAATGCCTGTTTTTTATTTTCAACACTTTATCCTGTTATTCAAATCCACCTTGTGTGTCCTTGTTTCCTCCACTCCTCTCAGGTACTGTCTCATGAGTGTGCAGGGCTGCTTCACAGATTTCCACATCGACTTTGGAGGCACTTCCGTCTGGTACCACATCCTGCGAGGAGGAAAGGTCAGTCCGGGTGTCACGGCACACAAATCATACATTTCAGTTTTGGCTGCCTGTGGTGACCCAACGGCCTTTGAGTTTTCTGATAAATACTGTCACACACGACTTGAATATGACATGGTGAAAGGAAGCAATGTTTTTTTACTCCTGAATGACGTACATTTTTCGGGGCTTTTCACACACTAGGAAAAAAGCCGTTTACCAGTCACCCTGCTCAGAATTTTGATGCTAAATAATCCTAGTCTAGTAGTATTTAGCATCTTCATTTCATTTCACTCTATATTAAATTTAATATCTGTTACACAGATTTAAATGCACACGAGTGCCCTGGCGGTGTCTTTATGTAAATGTTGACCGAAGACAATCAACGTGACCTTTTTACCTGGGACCCTTACAGGTGTTCTGGCTGATTCCACCCACACCCCAGAACCTGGAGATGTACGAGAACTGGGTGTTATCAGGAAAACAGGGAGACATCTTCCTCGGGGACAAGTGCTTTGACTGTCAGAGGATAGAACTCAAGCAAGGAAACACCTTCATAATCCCATCAGGTATGTAAAGAAAATACGGGAGCCGTATACAGACCCCGAAAAGCAAACACACACGTGAGCACTACGCAGCTACAGCGTCTCGTGTGTTGTTTGTTGCAGGGTGGATCCATGCTGTGTACACCCCAGAGGACACGTTGGTGTTTGGGGGGAATTTCCTCCACAGCTTTTAACATCCCCATGCAGCTCAACATCTACAGCATCGAGGATCGCACACGGGTGAGCAGCGCCTCACATCAGCTGTGGTCTTTTTATTCTGCTGTGGATACACAAACACCATGACACACATTTTGTGATTATGCAACACGTGATTCAGAGTCTTCTGTGGAAAAACACTTTTGATATAATTCTTTCAACATGACTAGGTTTTCATCCCCCATCAAGCTAAGGGTACACAGATTTGTACTTATTTCTCTCCTCAACACATTTTGAATCATAAGTTTAGGACATCTGCCAACACTGAGTAACAATCCGATAGCAGTAGCACTAACACACCATTTCACAATCTTTATACTTGGGTAAGTAGAACTCATTATAATAATTAGAGTAAGTTACTAAGACTTAATGTAGCTGATAAAAATGAAAAACGACACTCACGAAACATGTGGATTTGTCATGCATGTTGACAATCGTGGGAGACAAAACAAGAATATTTTCTAGAATTGGGTTAGAACACAAGTTTTTGTTGATCGACAACTAAAAGAATACAGCTGGAGCACCACCCGCTTCTTAAGTAGAACTTGATTTGTAGTTAATATAGCAGCTAACAAACATAGTTTACATTTACATTTCTGTCATTGGCATTTGACGAGACATGGAAAACATTTGAGACACTTCTGTTTCTCTCCTCCTCCTCTAGGTGCCAGCAAAGTTCCGCTACCCTTTTTACTATGAGATGTGCTGGTACGTCCTGGAGAGATACCTCTACTGTCAGACCAACATCTCCCACCTCACTCCTGAGTTCAAAAAATACTCCCTGGGCGTAGGTGAGGACGGAGGA